TCAAAAAAAAAAAAAAAATCATTCATCTAGTAGTTAGATTAAAAAGCACAGTTCATCCACACAGTGGAGCAATTAGACAAAACCTGCAGGTATTAATTATACCAGTCACAATGCCACATAAAGATTTTATGTAAATGAAAATCATAATTGTTCTTAGGTCCTCAGTTGCAGTCAGTGATACATGTAGGTCATCTTAATTTTTCAGGACTTTAGATGATATTTGAGTTTCTTTTAAGTTCATTAAGCCATGTAGAATACTGGTATGTTGATATGTATTAGGACTTGAAAATTGAGAGGATCTTTACTGTTGATACAATCTTCAGTAGTAGCCAAATACACATTTGCATGTGGTCTTGTTTATTCTGAGTGAATTTGTTCATTGTTTCATTTATTTATTTGAATCAACTAAAAGTGAAATAATACCACAGTACAGATCTCTTAAGTTTATTGATTTTATTACCTGTATAACTCCATGAAATAGCTTGCCTTTCCAGTAACTGAACTTGTGCTGCTTTTGTGGCTTTCAACTTATTTTTCATTATGAAAAATTAAAGTTTATGATTTCCAAGATAGCTTTTATGACTAAATAGGATTTCTTCTAAGGATAAATATTTCCAGGGTTAGTATATTTTATAATAGTCTCATAAACCTCAGATTTTTAACTCATGCCACAATTTCTGCCACTAATTTTTATTGTTATTATTCCTGAGATAGAGCTTACTCTGTCACCCAGGCTGGAGTACAGTGGCGTGATCTTGGCTCACTGCAACCTCTGCCTCCTGGGTTCAAACAATTCTCATGCCTCAGCCCCTCGAGTACTGGGACTACAGGCACATGCCATCAAGCCTGGCTAATTTTTGTATTTTTAGTAGAGACGGGATTTTGCCATGTTGGCAAGGCTGGTCTCAAATTCCTGACCTCAGATGATCTACCACCCTCCCCGCCCCCCAGCCCCTTGGCCTCCCAAAGTGCTGGGATTGCAGTCATGAGCCAACACACCCAGCCTCTGCCACTAATTTTTAAGTTGAATTATGTATTGTAGTATTGTTCATAGGCTAGTGTTTTAGGATTGTGGGATGTGGTGATGGTAGAAATTATATCTGATAATATTAGATTCTAGCTAATAATTTATTTTAATTCTTTTTGCAATCTAGAAATTCTGAGTTTTGTTGCAAAAATAAAAGTTCTAGGCTGAGGCAGGTGGATCTCTTGAGCCCAGGAGTTTAAGACCAGCTTGGGCAACGTGGTGAAACCCCATGTCTACTAAGACAATAAAAGAAAAATTAGCGGCTGGGCGCGGTGGCTCACGCCTGTAATCCCAGCACTTTGGGAGGCCGAGGCGGGTGGATCACGAGGTCAAGAGATCGAGACCATCCTGGTCAACATGGTGAAACCCCGTCTCTACTAAAAACATAAAAAATCAGCTGGGCATGGTGGCGCATGCCTGTAATCCCAGCTACTCAGGAGGCTGAGGCAGGAGAATTGCCTGAACCCAGGAGGCGGAGGTTGC